ACTCTGACCATCTGTGATCTTAAATGCCTTAGCCTCTTGTCTCACCAGGGAACATGTTGCTAGTGGTGATGACCTAGCAGAAAGTATCAGTGATGGTTTTTTCCTGATGTTAATCAGCTTAGGTTTTAGGGTTTTCAGGGCTGAAATGTAACTCAGTATCAGCTTCACGAGCCACCCATGTTTCTGTAGGCACTTTCCTGTCTTACTGAATTATACTTCAATTCCCAGCCCTTCAATTAAGAAGAGAGCTGATATTTTCAGAAGAATTGAGCCTGTTTGCATTTGCCTTTTACCACTCCATTGATAGTGAAACTACCCATCACTCTTAAATGTGGAAGAAAACTTTGCATTGACACTGGAATTTGCTGAGGCTCAAAGGTCTATTACCACAGCTGCTGTCTAACAGGTTTTCTTGTAAAGAGCTGCTTGCTTGGCCTGGCCCTCAGCATGGTCTGACACCTATCTGTGGGGGGTTTCTAGCTCAAGCACAAAGATCTGATTCTCTGGTACTTCTGTTTCTTGTTCATTGCTCTTCTGCTTAACTTTTGGTAGAAGTTTACAGTTAGTGAGGCCACAAAGGCTCTAAGTTGTTTGTGTGTATGCATCATGAACCCCTTGTTAGGCTGCCTCTGGTTGAACTAATTTTCCAGGCCCCTGAGATGTTGCTTTTCAGGCTCATGTAGCCCTGAACCTTCAGGTTAGGCTCACATTCAGGTGTGGGTTTTGACAGAATGATACCTGCTCTGGTCCCTGTCTTTGATACATGCCATGTACAGGTGGTTAAAGAGCTTCTGAGTGTGGTTTGAGGGACACATCAACATTAGCAATTAGTAGTAATTGAAAGAAAGTGTTATTTTTTAGTCATTTAAATCATTTAAGACTCAAAAAGCAAAGGGTTTGTGTGAAACACACAGGTGTCTTCAACTTAGCATCATTCCCTCAGTGCCTAATGTGCCCTTTAGGTAATGCTCCTGAAGTCTGGGTTTGTCACTGTCCTCATTTGTAAACAGGTAACTGTCTGTCCTGCATCAGGTTGGCAAAGCTCTAGGATTTCCAGGTTTTTATTTGAGAAATTAGCTCTTGGTGCTGCGATCCTGACTAGTATATTTGAATGTTATCTGACTGGTCATGTTTGTACCTTCTAAGCCACATTTTTTCATTCCATTTTCCATTCTTGCTGACATTTTTCAAAACAATATTTTATTATCCTCTGTTCAATTGATAATGCAAATGATATTTATTAAGAGTTAATGCAGCTATTTCCAAAGTTTTCACATAAGAACAGTTTGAAAGCAGATAGTGTTGCTATATTTACATGTCAGGAGTAGGCCTTATAAGAACTTTTGGAAGCAGATGAAAGCTCTATTTTAGAATAATGAAAACATTAGTGATCAATTATTTTAACTTAGTAGTCAATTAATTTAACCAAAAAAGTAAGAGAATAAGGTTTTTTGAGTGGGGTTCAGCTCAGTTTTAAATTGCTCTTGGAAGGAGTTGCTCGAACTGTTCTTAACTCGTTTATTTGAATCTTGAACTGTGATTTATTGGGATATAATAGTGTTTAGATTACATTTATCTTGCTGTTGAGCTCATATAATAGTTCTAAATTCAGATTTAGGAAGTTAGTTGGAGATACTTCTACAGAAGTCATTCACTTTTTACCTGTGTAACCAGTTTTGCCAGGTTTACAGAAACAACCACGTGCACTAGTGCTAAGCTAATATACATAATGTGTTTATATTTCTTAAGGGACACACAGTCAACTCTTGCAGCATTTAGCAGTTCATGTATTCTGCACCTAAGTGTTTCCATCTGCAATGGCTGCAGGACACTGTACATGTGTTCTGCTGAGCTGTTGAAGGTGGCATCAAATGGTCTTGAGAATCTGTTGTGTTCTGAGTGAGATCTTTGTAATGCTAAGCACAATTTGCATAGATACCCAGGTGTGATTTGTGACTCGGCTATTCACAAACAGATGAGTGTGCTTTACAGGCACTGTTTTGTCACAGGTGTTAAAATTGAATTTCTCTTAGTTTTAACACAGTAAAGTGAAAATTATCAGAGCTTCTAAGTTAACATGGCACTCTCTAAGAGTGAAGCACTTTCCAGGATACCATTTGGGCTCTGCTTGGCCTTTCTGTGGTTAGAGGCAGGAAGGTTATAAATCCTGATCTACATATTTCTGTTTATCCCTAGCATGCTTAAAACTGTGATATTAGATCACTGCAGTATCAGCTGCATCCTGTCTCTCCTGCTCTCCCTGCTCCCTTCCTCATTTATGTCATCAATAAAAGAAAACACATGTAATCCTTTGGCTTTGCTGCCACCATAGTCGTGGCCTGGCAGATGCTTTTTGAACAGAGTAGATTTATAGCATTAGCAGTTGCTAACTCCTCTGAAGTCAGACTTGGATGATCTTTCCAATGAGCTCCTGTTTTGTTGACAGCAGGTTTTTTCTTTTGCTTGATATTTTAGATGTGTCCAGCTTTCTTCTAATATCATTGTTGGTCCCTGTTCTCCTTTTGTGGTGGCATTAACTTTGTCAGACATGTTGCTGTGGGTTTTCTTTGGTTTTCTTTGTTCAGGTTTAGAGCAGTGATGGTTATGCCAAGCAATCTTTTCCATGTTGCAAATGTTACTTTCTCCAAGTATTGTGCAATGGAAATTTGCTATGAGGGGAAGGAGGAGGAGAGAGAAAAGCACAGAATGTTTTGTTTTGAAGACATTAGTCTGAGAATGATGATTTCTTCGAAACAGACGAAAAAAAAGTAGTTTTCTCTGGAGATTAACTTAGGGCCAAGTTTTGCTCTGGACAGCACTATGGATTTTACTGGAGCAGACACATGTGAATGGAGGACAGTTTTGCTTAGGGGAGAGGAGACTGGTGTCAATCAGGATTGTCCACTGAAGTCACTGGAATATGCAGATGTAAGGGATCTAAAATTAGATCAAAGACAGTTTTGCATGTGTTTCATGCACTACATATGTGAGTTTGAATAGAAATGCCAAGGGGATGGTTAGATACACCATTTTTGCCACAGAGAAGAATACAAATAGCTAAACACAGCCTAGGGGAAGATAATACAGCCCAGGTTTTGTGCCTGCAGCTGCCCAGAGGTTATTATGGCTCTTCCTCCCAAATAGAATCCTGAAGGCCATTTAACTGTGAAGTGAATGAGCTAGTAGTAATCGAGTCAGCTCTTCAGATACTTGAAGATAACAAGAGGATAAGAAGGGAGGAAGTACACCGGGTGCAGTTTGCAGCAGGGAATGTTTTGTAGGTGTTTAAGATGTGCACATCATACACTTCACTTTACACTTTGTGTGGAACAGCTTGCACAGAGAGAGGCTGTTTTCAGGGAATTCACACAAATGTGCTTTGTGTTAACCACAATGCGAAACCAATTAAGCGGTTGTTGCTGGAACCTGCTGTTCATACAACTTGCTCATGCATTTCCTTTAAAAATGCAGACCTGCTCCATAAAGCCTTTAGTCAGTCTAGCAAAGCTCCTTATGACATGACACTTTTGCTCTAGATGATAAGGGTTTTTTTAACATACCAGCTCAGACCTCTTTTTAGGTTATTTATTATGTTTTCCTCTATCCTGAAGAATCATGGAAATGATGCTAAGGAAGGATTCCTAAGGAAGCTCGTGGGAGGGGTTTCCAGAATGAAGAACCTCATCTTCTCCTCAGCTGAGGTCTCTGGACCTGCAACAAGTTGCCCTAAAGAGGGAGACTGGGACATGCCCAGAGCAACACTAATTTGTAGTCCACTGTGTCAGGTGTGTGGTTTGTGCTGACTCCCTGGCAGGATTCAGCAATATCTTGGGACTTGATTGTCCCCAACACACTGAGAATAGATGAATAACCAGAGGGCTTATTCTCATTGTTGCTTCAACACCTAAACTGAGTTGTTCTGTCCCACTTCTCCTTGGATCCTACATTATCTCCGAAAAGAACCTGAAGATTACTGCCTATTGTTTGTTAATTGATAGATTTAGCATTTTAATTGTCTATTGATTTTCAGTCATGGTTTTCAGTTTGAGTAAAAAGTGTTTACTTTGTTGCCCAAAATACCCCTCTTCAGGGCTTAAACAATACAGAATTAGAGACCACAGGAAAAAGTAGAATGAGAGTGAAGGAAGTATAATTGACTCAAAAATGAAAGTGCTTCCAGATCATTAAAATTTTAATGAGGCAGTGTGCAGTGCCATAATGCTAACTTTTGCATTCAATTGACTGAAGTATTGATTGCCATACAGTTCTTTTGTACCTTTAGTGGAAACAAGGAGGAATTACACTTTCTAATTACACATTATAAATTTCTACATTAAGGAAGAGCTTTCAAGAAACATGTCTTTATATAAGTGGTTTTCCTTATATTATCTCAAATTATTTATTTGAGGTCAGTGAGATTGCAATTCTTTTGACTTCATGTGTTACAGTAGCTGCTAACCAATAGTTGTAATAAAACCACAAAATGTCTTGGTTGCAGTCTGCACTTCTTCTTGGGAGATTATGCAATGAATATATGATTAACCTGCTGTCACCACTTTTTTCTACCATAACCTTCCCTCTACCTCCTCTCCCTCTCCTTACCTCTTCCCCTGCTTGGAAACCTGCTAATAAACCTGAAGTTTTTGTGGATAATCTTACTTGTCTGTGTGCTTTAAGCATTTGTGGAGGATAAAGGAGAGCATATTGGAATTCTAGGTTTCTGTACATTTCACATGATAGGAAACAGACTCCCAGGATGGCTGGGTTTGAAAGGCTGGAACAGATAATTAATTCATAAGTGGGTGTTGAAGTGGAAACTGTCAGGCCACAGCTTTCCCAGCTTTCACTTAATCATTTGAAAGTCGTTTTCTGTTGTTTTCACTGACTGTAATCCCTTAGAGAGAATATAAAACTTGCACCATCCAGCATGGAATTCCACTCCATTAATGACTTGTGCTCTGTGTTGACTCACTTTCACTCTCTGTTGTCATTTCATGCAGGAAAAGCCATACCAGTGCTCAGAGTGTAACAAGGCTTTCAGTCAGAAGCGAGGGCTGGACGAGCACATGAGGACCCACACCGGAGAGAAGCCCTTCCAGTGTGATGTGAGTTGATCTGGCCCTTTGTCTCCTTGGTTTCACTGGAGCAGTGACACCACAGCCTTGCACCCCTTGGCTATGGCATAAAGTTACACTTCATGTGCTCTTTGATTTACCTACCTAAGGAAAGGCCATTCAGGGATTTTTATGTACCCTCTTCAGTTGCCAGGAACATTGCACACCCTCTTACTTTAAGGTTTTGGATCCCTTAAGAGTTATTTTCACCGTTATTAATACAATTTGGGTCTTAGAAGTTACAAATTCATGCTGGTTGGGTTACTGTATGAATTGTATGACAAGTTTACAGCTGGAGATTAACTGATGTAGGAAAAGGTATTTAATTCATTACATGGAATCCAAGTGCTTCTGATGCTGAATGACACAAATATGAATCCCAAGTTTCAAATTCCCAGTGGAATCAGGTCTGATAGTTTCAACATCTGCTCACAGGCTCTTTTGTCATTCACTGAAGAAATCTGGGATGCAGTGCACACTTGCTGCACAGAAATGCAGCCTATCATGTTACAGTTCATAGATCACTGTCAGGCACCTTTCATTCAACATAGCCCAGTTATACGTAGCTTTTGGGAGGTAGCTGGAGGGGCTGAATGTGCAGAAGTGGTTAGAAAATAATGTCTTCAGAGCCATCAAATGCCAAAATTTAAGTTGTTGCTCAAGGATTTAGAGAGAGGCTTTAAAATGTGGTATAGAATTAGCATAGGCACTTTGTTTTGTTATACTGACTCTGAATGAACCAGTCACAAGGCACTGGTAGCTTTCAGTTGCATCCTAGATGGTCAGTCTGAGCAGTTGTAAATTTGCCCGGAGACTTCTAAAATGAGATGCAAAACTAGAATGGCAGCTTGGCATCACAGTTGCAAGGGTCTGGTAATTGTTCTGGGTTTTAATGAATAATCTGATGTCATTTTGTGGAGAATAAAATGTATTAATTTCGTGAAGAAGTTCATCTGAAATATTTGCTGATGTCCACAAGTCAGGAGATTTGCTATGTTCTTTTGGGATAATCTCAGCCTGGCTCTAGATAGTACCTTGAGGATTTCTCTGATTCCAGATCATTGTCAATAACTTTTTCAGCTTTCTGTATTGTTTATCAGCTGTTGCCTAGCTTGCAATATAAAGGCAGTTTTTCCCACACTGTGAATCCAAGATTCACTGGTCTTAGGTTCACATTGTGCTTTTTCAGAGTAATTTGGGATAGTGGTTCTATTTTGTTCTTTTTCCTTGCTGTAATTGAAGATAGGAGCTGTATGAAAACAGATTTTTTTCAGTTTTCCTCATGAATTAGATAGACCTGTATTTTCCCAAATCATAGCATTTCTAGAAACAGCTGTAATGTGTCTAGTCCTTCTCTGCAAACTTTTATGTGCCTTTATTTACTGGATATGTCTTTTATGATTTAAATTACTGCCATACTTCACCATGGTTATCCTTCTGCACAAGCCTTTTGCCAGCTGCACACTGCAGAGCCTGCTGACTTCTTGGGGTTTGGACATAAACTGCAGTTGCCTCTACTGTTCATTCTTACACTCTTCGGGTGCCCACCATGGTCTGTTGCTTAATGCACACTTGGGGGGTGTGCAAAGTTTTATTTGCAATAGTTACTCCTTATTTCACCTGGACTCCCCTTGAGCAGATGCTGGGGATATAGTGCATGTCACCCAGAGCAGGCCATTCCTCCAGAGCTGTCTTGCATTGCACATTGCCAGAGGTTTCAGTAGGAGTTACAGGAAAATCAGTAGTGGACAATTACAGAAAAATGTACCTATGGGAGACATTTATTTTGAGCTACTTCATATGAAATTTGCTTTTTACACTCGAACATTCTCACCTACAGTTTTTTATCCTGCTCAAGATAGCTGTAGATGCTGTTACTATTTTTCTTAGAATGCCTTGTGTGATAATTTATGGCAGTACCTACCACAAATTCTTATCTCTAGAATACCGCATGCCAATTTTTTAGGCTGCATTTTTGCTTGAAATAGACTTTTCTTCCAGAATCAGAAGTCAAAGCTGAGTCTTCTTTCTGTCGCACTCTCCTCTCTCAGGCACATGGAACAGGCGTTGTGCTACAGGATTGAGTTACATGTGTAACTAATCCTTGTACCCTGTTTGATGAAGGTGCCACAGTTTGTTTATGTGTCTAGTTCTGTGTCTAGTCAGTCCACAAAAACATGTTCAAAACCTAATGTCTCAAAGCTCTGGCATCCCATGGATAATGGTGGAAATTGAATATTCCCATTTTAAGATTAAAAATCTAATACATATCACATAAAGTGAAAATAACTGAGATACGGAAATACAAAATGCAGTTTCTCCTAGTATATTAGATTTCTGTCTTCTCAGGACCAGCCTGGTTTTTACTGGAAGGCCAGTTGAACTTCAGCTGCCTCAGAGACAACAGATTATTTTTGGGGGCAGAAAGATCAAGTACAGCCTGTCCTGGTTTCTTTCCAGTACAGTATTTCCCTTCATTCTGCCTCTGCTTGACCCTACACTTACTTCCAAATGTCAGTCTCTTCCATCCTCCCTACTTGATCAGAACTTTGATCACTTTGAAGAGATTGATTAGAGTTCAAGTGCACATTAGCAGGAGTGTCTGTAAATCTATAAAATGTCAGTCTTGCTTACAAAATTGATATATGAGGCAAACTCTTAAAAAACCTGCACAAAACCTTTATGCCCAAGCACAGCACAAGATGTGGCATATCTTTAATAATCCTGTGTGTTCTATGTTCTTGTTGAAGAAGGAAGGTCATGCAACATGCTAGAGCCTTGAAGGACACTTTATATTAGTTATATGCACAGTATCAATGGAAAAATGCACCTTTTATAAGCTGTTTATTTTAGAAATGAAGAGGTGAGTGCAAGGTATACAGAACACAGGTATCTTGTGTGTGTGTTTATCCTTGATTGGCTTCCTGGCATCCAAGAAACATGTGTCTACAAGTGGATGATACTTTTAACATACTGGGACTGGTGAGCAAGCAGGATGGCTATGAGTAGATAAATGTTGTGAGTTCACTCTGTGTTCTGTGGAGGAGAAATGGAAAATGGTATTTGGCAAAAGCAATGTTAAGGCCTGACCAGTGGATACTGTAATTGATGTTGGCTGTGGCACAACAAAAGGGTGACTGTTGCTTGGGTCTGAAAGAGGTAATTATGCAGTGGGTGGAAAAAGTTGGAGAACTGCAGTTGCTGCATGAAAGTTCTCAGTATTACATCATGTCATAAAGTCAAAAATGTTCTATTGCCACAGCACATACAGTGTCCTTGTCTGGGGAAAAATTATTTTGGGTGCAAAACTTGCCTCTGGCTATTTGACTTTGTATAGTCATTGTATGGTTTTGCCTTAACAGGCATAAAATACATCTGCTATAGGTCAAGATAATCTCCTTGGATAGTCAGCTCTGGTTGTCTGTCTTGGTTTCAAAAGGAATCAGTAATCTTTCAATAGTTTGATACCAATATGGATTTAAAACTTCATTTTCCTTTCCTCTGGTTCCCCAAGTTTCTTCTGCATGAAAGAGAGTCTGTCTGGAATGAACCTGGAATTTTAAGATTGCAAGGCTATGGATGTTCCTTCTTGTTTAATGATATGCTTCTCTCCTGTTTCATGTGTCAAATCAGCAGCATGCTTCCTTTTTTTTCCTGTTCCTTTCCCTGGGAAATTAATGCATACAACATGTACCTGCATGGAGAGTGAATGTGACAATATAACTGCACCATTTCAGTTGAGTTGATGTCTTGCCTTAACTTTTAATTCTAACTTCTCTTGGCTGAACTTGTTCTTAACCTTTCATTTGTTTCATTTTAACTTCAGTACAGGGGTTTCTCTAAGACTCGGTGTTTTTAGCCTGGCAGAATCCCTCATCCCTCTACCCATTTATTCAAGTGGCAGAATGAACTGGACTGCTTGGAGTACAGTGGAGGAAGGAAAGCAGCACACCAGATAATAAGGCACAGGAATTGCACCTTCATTTGCCAGATGTCTTCCATTTTCTTGGCCAGGCAGAGGAAGACTGCAACAGTGAGGTTTCCTTTATAAGCATTATTGACCTGTCTTGCAATCTTTGGAGCCTCTTTTTTCTCCCTTCTATCTTCTTGCAACTAAGCAATTTGAACTGATTCTTTTGGAACCTGCAGATGCCATTCTGGAAGTCAGGAAGGTCAAATTGACAGAGCCTTGTGATGCTCTGTCGTAATTTTTCTCCATCCTCCGTAGAGCAATAGCTTTAAAACAACCTCCAACAAACCAGCACAATGTCACTGGGACACCTCAGTGTGTTGAGACTTAGAAGGCTGAGTTTTAGACAGACACCACCCTCCATTCCTCTGGTACCACTGCTAATATATGGCATGAAAAGATACCAGACAGAGAAATAACCTTTAAGGTGCTCTCTGAAGGAGTTATTCTTCCCAAGACCAGCTCGTTTGTTAAGTATTGCAGGTATGTGTGGCTGTGGCTTCAGTGATGTAACGTAAGGAGTATTATACATGCTTGAAGTTTTAATACTTTGTTTGCCTTTGTCTTAGGTTTGTGATCTGTCCTTCAGCCTGAAGAAAATGCTGATCAGACACAAGTTGACTCACAACCCCAATCGGCCCATGGCAGAATGCCAGCTTTGCCACAAGAAGTTTACAAGAAATGACTACCTCAAAGTGCACATGGAAAATGTCCATGGTGAAACTGACAGCTAATTACAGCCTGTGTGAGAAGAATGGATCCAAAGTGCTCCGTTTGTACACATACAGACTCCAGACTTTTCACCTGGCTAGTAAGCAAAGGCAGGAGAAACAACTGTAATGTGTTCACATGTTATTTTTCCCACTTTTTTGAAAACATGCAGGTAGAAAAAAAATTTTCAAAGACATTGGCCTGATATAAAGCACAGATTGGAAATAAAACAGTGAAGGTAAAAGAATTTGTGGAAAATTTTATCCCCATTTGAAAAAAAAGAAAAGAGGGGGGGGAAAAAAGCTTTAAGCAAACTTATTTTTGTCAATTATGTTCTTAGAAACTTAGATGTTAGTAGCATTCCCTGGAAATCCTGGATACTTGTAACTGAACTCTTGGCTGTCTGCAACTGTATTTTTATATCTAAGCTCCAAGTCTCCATTAAATTTATTTAATTTGAAACCACACAGACTTTGTCATTCTGATTGACTGCTGATTGCATCCAGCCTTACTTTATTCCTGGCGTAGTTCTGCATTTTGTTGTAGCATCATTTTGCCTCATTTCATTTACAGCCTTCTCATTACTTGATGAAACTCATTAACTTGAATTGGTTCTTGAGATGCCCAAATGTATGGGTGCAGGAACTGTGGGAATGTGCCATGGTTAAGAATTGCTGTATGAGACTGAGAGGTGGTATTTCTTCTGGTTACATGAAGCAAGACTGGAGTGTGAACTCTGAGCAGTGCAGTGTAAGTGCTGTATTCATCATCATGGCTGGCAAGGCAAGTGGAAAGACATCTTAACAGAGTGGCTTGAGCAATGCCCAAATGTATGGGTGCAGGAACTGTGGGAATGTGCCATGGTTAAGAATTGCTGTATGAGACTGAGAGGTGGTATTTCTTCTGGTTACATGAAGCAAGACTGGAGTGTGAACTCTGAGCAGTGCAGTGTAAGTGCTGTATTCATCATCATGGCTGGCAAGGCAAGTGGAAAGACATCTTAACAGAGTGGCTTGAGCAGAGCAAAACTATCTTTTTTCTCCACCCCTTAATTCTGCTAACGAGCATTGGGAAAAATACTGCTTTACTACTAAATAGCAATCAAATTCCTCATATTATCAGAGGGAGCTGTTTACTGTAGAAAACTCTTCAAAAGAGTTCCCACAGGCCTTCTCGTACCTCAGCTAGATAACCAAAAAACTTTTATCTACAAGGGCAGTAAAAATGTAACTTCAGAGGGTGATTGCATGTGAAATTCCAGCCTTATCAGCAGTTAATATGAAAGCTCTGGCATTAGCAAACTGTTCATATTCATTTTGGACCTGTCAGTGTTTTGTAAAATGAACTTGCATTGGGACAGTTTGCTTCTGGCTTTCATGGGAAAAGAATTCCTTTTCTCTCTGGACTGCAGCAGGGACCTTTATATGCTGCAGTGAACAGCACAGAGTTCTTCATCTCATGGTAGACTCTATTCAAATCTGTGTCGCATGGTAGATTTTCTACTCAGAAGAGCAACAGAAGAAATTAGCAATGGCAGTATTGCTGGTGATAGAAATAGCTAGCAATAGAAGATGGTGGTAGATTTGGTGATTCACTTCCTTTTCTCCTGTTTGGATCCCATTTTTGTGCATGGATGTCTGTATGTTACGTGTGTTGTTGAGAACCAGCATTGAATCCCAGTAGTAATCATTTCTAAAGCCATTGTTTTTCTCCAGAAAGCAAGAGAAGGCACTTTGTGTTCCTCTCAGAACCTGAAGAATGTGTGCCACTAACAGGGTAATTGTGATCTTTATCAGAGGGTCTTAGTTTTTTTTCTGGGAAGCCTCCTGTTTTGTTATGAGACTACTGATCTTTAACCTCTTAGTTTTGTTTTGGAAGCCTAAAATGCTCCATGACAACAAACTAACAAGTCTACAAGTGTCCTTCCCATTTGCAAGCAGGTTGTACACTCTAGTTTACAGGTTCCCTTTCTTACCGAAACCAGGCCACTTCTGCCAGCTAGTCTAACAAAGCTAATTAGGAGTTTTTTGCAATATTACTTTAGGTGGCAAACCACATGGTTGATGCTTCATGAATTAAAATTACTCAGTAAGTGCTGAATGTTTTATTGCATTCATTTTGCCTGTTGAAATGCATATACTGAATTGTTTTAAAATTATATAGGATCTATGCAGATTTGGAGAAAAAAGTATAATTCTGAACAATTATCTTGTTTGTGACAGCCACCTCTGTGTAAAAGCATGCTAAGTCTTCATGTCCTTTTGCTTCCTGAGAGGTACATGAAACTTGGAGACTTTGCCAGTTCCATACAAATCATAAATCAAATGTATTTTATGTGTGTAAGGCAAATATATAATGTTTGTTTCTACTAAAGTTGAGAATAATTCTCCTCCTCGTTTGTAGGGATTTTGTTAGAATTTATGAGAAAACTGTATTTCTGGGTCCAGAGAACCTTAATTTATTGCTACAGTTGTTGTAAAAGTTAACATAATGTTAAGTGTTCAGGTAGCAGAAGCAATCACTGCCATATACCAAGATGTGTGATGGGGTTTTAGCTACGTGTTCTTAATTACCTGCAAGGAGAATTAGGTTTGTGACTTTTTTGACGTGTCTGGGGTGGGTGACTTTATTATTTTGTTTTTGGTTTTTGCCTTTTTGACATCAATGAAATCAACAGTTCAGTCATAGAATAACCAAAATGAAAATTTTTTGGTTTTCTGCCTTTATATTTTTCCTTCTTCCCTTTGGTTAATACAAACTAAGCCACAGAGAACAGCAGAAGAGAAAAAAACTCTAAAAAAAAAAAAGAGAAGATTAAAAAGTGAAAGTCTTCTAAGCAGACCCTCATGGGAAACATAAGAAGTAGGTGCAGGAGGTTGAAGCCCAGGTCCAGGTGAGTGTCTCCTCCATCATGTTCTCCAGGAACTTTCCCTTTGGGCTGGAGTGGCTGCAGGTCTGGCTCAGCCCCTGCAGAGCCAGCACCTGGCTCAGCAGCTGCAGGTGTTTCCCTGGCAAGAACTGCTCTGTTCTTTCCATGAGGGGCTTGAGTTGCTTGCAGTCAGAGGGAATATGTTTCAGATTACTGAATTCATGAACTGTGTAATTGATTTTATATGCAGTGCAGACTTGCCATTATGCAGTACATTTCTATTTGATCACAGCTTTCTTAATAGAGCACGAAGCAAACAAAGAGAAAACAAAAACCAAACCCACAAACCCTTCTACTTTGAGTCAAAATTTCCATTGACATCTCCCATTTGGTATTGCCTTTGGAAAAAATAGAGAACTTCCCCCTCAGCTGATTTTGAGAAATGACAAATTGAAACCTGTTGGTTTAAAGGTAATTGTTAATTTTTTAGTGTTGTCTTTGTATATTTGTTAGTCATCATTTATTAAAATAGTGAGTTTTCTGTGGTAAGTTGTGCCTTGCAGAATAATGTGAAAAGCTAGAAATGTTCCTGAAATAATGTGTAATCACGGCCATTTTAGAAGGCTTTGAGATTTTTTTCCCTGTATTGCATAGTAAATTGTTTTCAGTTCAGTTACATACTCACTGCACTGAAGTGTGGGGATTCTCGTCACAGGGAGATTGAAAATCTGCTTATTTGGTTTTATTGGCAAGTGTTAGCTGAGACTGTGACAGCAGTTACGGTTATAAAGCTGTGTTCTTGAGCAGGTTTGAATTCTGACAGCTGACTTTTGTCTCCTGTACATTCTGTGGCACCAAGAACATGGAGTCATTTAAGGATGCACAGTAATAGCTGAGAAGTTGTTGCTGATCAACAGTTTCCTTGACCTGGAAATTACTCATTGAACGTTTCAAACTTGGGACAACCAGTCTTAATTAAATAGTTGTTGTTTATCTTTTTTTAGTCTGTTTTACCTCCTGTCCTCTTTCCATTGTGAGCTGTTACGGAATCTTTGCTGTGCTGTGAACAAGGACAGACAGTCAACTGGCAAACGCAGTATTTGCAAAGCATGTGCTGCTAGCTGGTGTCACTCTCCCTGAGCCCTATTTGTTCTGCTCAAGTAGCCTGCCTCTGGCTTAGCTAACATCAGCTACCTCTCATGTTACAACAGGAGTGGGATCAGAGGCTGTGCATGATGTACAGGCTGTCATCACCCTCCAGTGACGAAAGAAACGAGAGGAAAACACCCGTCCATGGCACAAGTGGAGGAGAGACTGGATGGTCCATTTGTCTTCATGGCCTCCAGCTGAGGTAGGCAAGAAATATTCTTGGATCTCCACCACTGTGCGTGTCCTGGGCCTGATCACCTCAGAAAAAATCTAGGTAGTGAGATGAAGAAACAAAAATAAAGCTACTTTGTATTTGACTTGTAATATGTTTTGATGCCTGCCTTGAAAGTGGTGGCACGTGTTTCATAGCTTAAACAAAACCAAGCTCCTTTGATTGGAGTGTGTGCCAGGAGTGGGCAACAAGTGTGGCATGGAGAAGTGTGTTAGTTTTAAAATGGGACTGTCACCACTTCTGTTGGAATTTTGGTTAATACAGTCATTCTGCAGTGCCTGTGCAATGACCAGTTGTAACCTGAGGCCACTGTGTACTGAGGGGGTTCTCACTTCTCTGTGTCCCCTGAGTGGAATAGGATTCTGATACTTAAGCAGGATATGTTGGACATGTACATGAGATGCATTGTACATACAAACCCAAGCTGTATAATTCCAGCAAATAACTGAGATGCCTGCCAGCTTTATCCTGTGTACAGCTGAATGGGATGGTTTTGAAGAAAGTAAAAGAAACCTCCTGGTGTTGGTGTGTATGACAATGCGGTCCTTCCAACAACTAACCCATGGAAATTTGGACTTAGGCATTATTTTGCAATTTAAGAAAGATAAACATACTAAAAGTTGCCAATTAAGTTTTTGAAATGGAGTGATCTCATAAGCCTTTCCCAAACAGGACTCTGTGCATATGCATAAACCAATATAGTTCAGATATATAAATGAGATTATAGAATTAAAAGGTGAGGTCACAGATTTGAAGCCCAATCCTGTGTATGCTCCTGAAAATCAGTAGAGTTTAACTGACTTTTGGATTTTCTAGAATCATAGAATTGAAGGGTTGGAATGGACCTTACAGATCATCTAGTCCCACACCCCTCTCCTGGGCAGGGACACAAACTCACTAGATCAGGTTGCTCAAGGCTCATCCAGCCTGGCCTTGAACACTGCC